GAGCTCAAATTACTTGGTCAAAACTTGGTCAAATTTTATCCAACTTTCTGTATGTCCTTCTCTAAGATGTAAAATCTAACTTTTATATTTGGCTCAACTTGAGTTCCTTAACAAAAATCCGAGAACGCGAGATGCCAATCATCATTGCCATTGAAAATCTAGACTTAGCTAAATTTTCTGAGAGGCCAAAACAGCACTGCATTCAAACTTGAGGCCATTGTTTGAGCCACTTAAGAGTTGAATCAGAGATTGGTCCAAAAATAAAGTTTGTTCTACTCCACTAAAACTTCAACTTTTATTTAAGGTCAAACTTTATAACTTGTTTTTCACACTGTTATTTGACCTTGGTCAAAGCAGCATCACGATAAACCTTAAATTAGAGTTTTAGACCGATTGAGGCATTTTCTTTGCATTTGCTCAACACGAACCCTTCATGATTTTTTTGTAGAGTTCAATTAGAGTTAGTTGGGCAAGGTAGCAAGGTTTGGTCGACATCCCACGTTCCCATTCACCTGATGAAGCAATTTAAGCAAAAATATAACTTATCATTTTATGTGACTTTTTGGTTCCAAACTTCATAAAACTTTTCCTTTGGTAAAGATGGATGTATGTTGATGTAATGTATATAAAATAAGTATGTTTAACATTACTCTTACATAATCTTAACAAGGGTCCACATGTAAGCAAAGGCGTGTTGTCCAAGTTCAAGTTGGGACTCAGTTTCATAGATTGGACCTTAACACCTTCATCATCACTTCAAAATTATGAACTAGACCTCTTGATTACCATTGAACTTGCCATGTTGAAGCTCAAACCCTTTGCTTAACTAGTGAAAAACACGGGGTGTTACACTATATGCATTTATATTACAAGGAATGCATCTACCCGGTTAAGCGATAGTACATATGTGTACCATGCCAATGTGCTACAATGTGACAATGATTGTAGTGTCATGCCTTGGCGCTATCATCATATACTCGTGGTCTAATTATAAATTTAGCTGTAGAACATATTCAAGTTTGACCTCTACTTACATGAAACCCTTCTTATCATCCTTTGCTTTACCATATCTTGCAGTTGGCATGATTGAGTTGAAGAAAGACAAATTTAGGTATATAAGAGATCTATTGAAATGACCCTATTAAACTTCACCAAGATTATCTATGAAGAATGGTTCACCAAGATTAATCCTCACTTGTGAGTACTCGATCTTGCAAATGCTAAAAAGTGTGCCAACTAAGTAGGAACCACATAAGTGAATGTTTTTTGAAGAGTATGGAGGGCCAAAGCCTCTACAGAGAAAAGTTTTATTAAGAACGCAACAGAGAAACAAAAAACAAGTAACACAAGTATCACATAAGTGAATATTCAGTGGCAACATTATCATCCGGCAATTGTTATTGCATATTTAGCACATCACCACAACAACATGCACATATTTAGTTATTACATGCTACTCCTATATGTCAAAAACTTTAGAGCTCATGTCCTCAAGTTCGGATCGATTCGACAAGGCACATCAAAGAACGACCAAAAAAGATGTCTTAGGCTGGCTTGCTACTAGCAAGGGTGTGGCACCTACCATGACCGAGATTTCGACTTAGGTAGAAATTCTCAAATTACCAACACCTTGTGAGACCTGAAAGGCTAGCTCTAGGCCATTGATAACAATGTGTATGGAATTTGACATTGGTCTTACCTTGTGGAACGGTTTGGACTTGTGGAAGCAATTAGACTCGTGAATTATGTCTATTTAATGATGGATTGTATATATTCTTGTGAATTAGACTTGTAATGGTAGTTTATATAATGCTCTTGTGCTTGTGGTATATATATGTGTGTGTGTTTTCTGGTGAATTTGAATTGTAATTTTGAATTTTTTATGAAAATATGTCTTTGTAGGAGCGGTTATAGACCTGAACCGCCCCTACAAACAGTATTATAAAGGCGGTGGTACTACTGCCGCTTGTGACCGCCTCTACAAATCGATTTGTAAGGACGGTATGAGAACCACCCTACAAATGCATGATTTGTAGAGACGGTATGTAGTAGGGACGGCTGGCTGAGCCGCCTCTACAAAGCCTCACCAGCCGCCCCTAGAAACCATTGTTGTAATAGTGAATGCCGCACCTAAGCGACGGCGAGCTCTGTCCAAGTCCTCTAATGGTTGTTTTGGGGCCTTGAGCGAGGTGAGAAGGTAGATAGGGATGGCACTTAGAACCAATCTTACCAGCTCGCGTCTCCCTGCTGGGTTAAGTAATTTTCCTTGCCAGCCCGCCAGCCCGCCAGTCTGTTTCTTCTTTTTTATACATAGTACGCTGAACGTGCAAAATTTTGAGTCGTCCCAGAGTAAGTGTAAGGCCCAGGTAGGTTATTGGAAACGTACCCGTTGGCTAGAGGTGGTGTCCAGAATCTGATCAAGGTTTAGTCCTGCACATGACCACATATATAACATTATGAGGCTATTTGGTTCCTCGCCTTTTATCCCCTGCTTAGTTGGTGACTAAGATGAGGTTGCCATAGCCGCACAAGAGTTAAAGCTTCAGGAATCTCGCCACAGTCTGTGGCGGTGAATTTGGCTGCCACAATCTATGGCCGCCACACCTGCGCTGTGGCAAATAAAGGCTGGCATCCAAACAGCCTCTATATTATTCAGCTTGCAAGTTCAACAGTTGACCTGTTGACTTTGAACAGGACACGTTCTGGTTGGTCGAACGCGGATCGAACTAGACAGGAATTAGTCATTTGATTTTACTTATCTTATTTGGAATTAGTCAGTTGAGTATGCATCTAACTGTATCAGTTCAGTGAAGCTTGGAAAATCTGTTGTATGTAGGCCACCTGCAGTCCATCACTGACTGCTGATGGGTCATGTGCTATTGGCATCAAAGGATATACAACACTGTACAGAAACTGATTCATGAAGCAACTGTGAATCCTTCTCCAATAAGAAAATTGCTCGTCTATTCTTTCCAAAAAAAAAAAGGTTCCCACTAGCTAACAAGTAAAGGATGACACAACATTGTAGCTAACGAATCAAGAGACTAAACGGTAATGCTACGCGTCGTATGTCCGACGTGAGCAAATCGTTGGACGCTCATGTAGGGCCATAGCCTCATTGCTTACGCTTTTACCTTGCCGCTCGCTCCGCCAGCGAGTTTATTAAAAAAAATCGCCATCCTTATCCCTTCTGCTTTCTCCTCTCCTGTCGCAGCGCCTTGGAGCTGCCCCGTCCTGGACGCGCACTCCCCTCGCTGCTGATGCGTGCCCCATCCGGCACTGCTCGCCCGCGCCCCATCCCGTGCGCCTCTCGCCCCCTCCCGTCGCCTGCGCCGCCCGCTCCCTCCCGTCACATGCGCTGGTGCTAGTGGTGCTCGCTCCGCCCGTCGCGCGCGACGCCCGCCCGGCCGACCCAAGCCCAGTGCTGGTGGCAGTGGTGCTCACGCGGGCCGCTGGTGCTAGATGCTAGTGGTGCTCGTGGACCGCCACTCGCCGCTGGCTCCCAGCCCGAAGGCCGAAATAGACCGGCACAGGCGCTACCCCTCCCCTATGTTGCAAATATATGTTTTAAGTGTTTCAGATGTATGTTGCAGTTGTTTTATATGGATGTTGCAAAAGTAAATCGGGGATATTGCACATGCTACGTATGTTGCAAGTGTTTGAGAGACATGTTGCAAGAGTTTGTTTAAAATGTTTCATCTGTTCCAGACGTATGTTGCAAGCGTTTTATGGATGTTGCATATGTTTTAAACATATGTTACAACAGTATGTTCCAAAAGTTTTATCAGTTCCATTCTTCCGTTGCAGCAAGTATTTTCATGTTGCAAGTTGCAAGTGTTCTATCTAGATGTTGCATATATTTTTATACATATGTTGATAGTGTAAGTTCCAGATGTTTCATCTGTTTTAGATGTATGTTGCGTTCAAGTGTTTTCACGTTGCACGTGTTTGATGTTGTTCGGAGAGTCTAGGGTGCGAGGGAGTGATGGTGGCATGGCACGGGCGCTGAGGAATGGGGGCGTGGCGAGCCAGTGGCCGACGGACGTGGCGCACGGCGCGCTAGGGGCCGGGGGTCGGGGCCACGACAGGGCGGGGCGAACGGATGGGGCCGAGGTGCGCGGATGGGGCTGGTCTAATCGAGGCGGACGGGCAGATTATGAGCGAGTCGACGGACGACGACGGCGGCGCGATCGCATGGGTAGGCAGGGCGAGAAGCGGATGGGAGGGGTGGCAGGCTGTGCAGGCGCGCGCAGGAAACGGCCGTCTGATGAATCCTATCCGGTTGCACGTCCTGGCACCAGCACGTCGCATCTCTAAAAATCCAGGCTTGCAGCACCCGTTAAATAGAACAGAGGCACTTGGCAACTTAGAAATCCGTAGGTCTTTCTCTTCCCAAATATTTTTAATTAAAAGTCACAAAAAAATTATTTTTAATTAAAATGAAATCAAACAGTTTTCAGCCCTAAATTAGTTAAAAATGAACCGAGGCAATGGTATGATAGTCATGGTAGTTTTGAGATTCGAGTAGTACCAGATGCGTGCCAAAGACAGTGCTAAAGGGTTAAAAAAAAGACACACTTGGCTTTAGACCAGAATTAGGATTACATATAGGACCTATTCGGCAGGACTGAAAAATAAGTCAAAATACTGTTCGGGCTGATTGTTGTGAGAGAAAAATACTGTTCTGTCTTAAAATACTGTTCACGTAAACAGTGATTTCGTGAGCGGGCTGGCCAGCCAGCCAGCCAGCCACCAGCTTTTATTTATAAACATGTGCTGCGGGAAACATCGCTACGGAAACCGAACATGAACATAAAGTACCTACATCTGTTAGTAGAAACGAATTCACAAATTCAGATTACAAAATGAGGAGCAGATTGCATGCAAGTTCTGATGACATCATTCGACTGACGGAATAATGGCAAATCAAATTGCAGCGCGGGCAAGATTGCTGATAACGATACAATACAACACATCATTCACAGTATGTACACGATTGCTTATGGCCAATCTCTAATATCTGAACTAAGTGGCCTGTCAAGTTTAGTGCCTTCAGCTCCGGTGATATGAGATTTAGTTACGGTTTTGGATACCGGTGTAGCTCCATCTGAAGAGCACTTCTTCCAAGATCTCGTGATTATTCGAAGGTGTTCTGCCACTTCTTTCATTGTTGGTCTCCGATCTATTTCCTCACAAATACACTTCAGCGATAGCCTCCCCATCTCTTCAAGCAGAACAATATCTCCACCATGAACTGCAATATCATCATCAAAAAATGTCCTTCCACTGCCATCTGCCAGGCAAGCTGTGCGGAATTGTGAAATGAGGTCATCATGATCGGCATAAAATACAAAGTTCTTCCTACTAATAAGCGTCAAGAGAAGGACACCAAACTGGTATACATCGGTTTTCACTTTTAGTGACACACAGTGATCGTGAATTAGGTCGTCGTAGAACCTGCTTGATGGAAGCTGATGACTAGTAATTGCATCGTCGCTGGCAATAATGTTACTCTCCTTGATAAACTTCCTTGCCCATGAAAAGCCAGTGAGCTTTGGCATGAAATTATCATCTAGAAGTATCTTGGATGGTACCACATAACCGTGTCTGATAATACCAGTTGCTGATGAGTGGAGGTATTCTAATGCTTCTGCAATTTTTACTGCAATCTTTGCACGTAAATCTAGTGGGAAGTCTTCATGCCTGTCCAGGACATCAGATAAACTACCTTTAGCAGCAAACTCATACATGAAAGCTGGGCAATCAGCATCCGGGCAATATCCCAAAAGTTTGATGATGTTCCTATGGAATATTTGAGACAGGATCATCCCACCATTGATAAACGCTTCTTCAAAGCCCTCAAGTACTTGAGAAAATATTCTCACTGCTACCACTGTATTGTCCTCAAGTGTCCCTTTGTAAACTCTACCTGAAGTACCTCCACTGAGTAGATAAGAGTAATTATGTGTGACTTCTTTTAGCTCCTCCTGTGTGAGAATTCTCACATTGCTGGGTTCTGATTGAATCTTAGAATTGCTAAGGTTCCTCTTCAAAAAGACCAAACTCTTCTTAATCTGCATCTTAGAATTATAGGTGGGCATGATTATCTCTTGCCTGTTGTTTCTGCGCCATGAATGGTGTGATGCCAAAATTGATTCTGAATAATTTTCATGTCTGTCCTTCAATTCTTTTCTCAGAATCCGAAGGCGTTTGACCACATCAGTCATCTGAGGACGCCTATAACTGATCAGTGATAGGCACTCAATTGCCAATTTCTTCATTTCTTTAAGAATCTTCATGTTGTTCTCATTTGCTATTGCAGCATCAAATATTTCTCTAAACCCTTTACCACTTGCACAGCCTTTATTGACATATCCAATGAGGTTAATGTCACCTTTTCTTACCCTTTCTCTAGCTATTAGTTCACAGAGAACTAATCCAAAGCTATAAACATCACTCCTTGGAGTAAGACATCCCTCTTGAATATATATAGGATCCATGTACTCTATACTTCCTTTTACAGTCGTAGTGTACCGAGTGATGCCACCGACCAGAAGCCTTGAAACTCCAAAATCCGTTAATTTTGCTGTCAAATTGTCATCTAGAAGTATGTTGGCAGGCTTAATATCACCATGACAGACAAGGTTGTCAGATGATAAATGCATTGAATGCATGTAGCTTAATGCCTCTGCACACCCTATAGCAATACCCAATCTTACATCCAAAGGGATCGAAATTTCACTGTAGTGGAGTATGTCATTGAGATTTCCTTTGGACATATACTCCATTACAATCATGAGAGTACGTTCCCCAATGCAATAGCCTATGAGCTTCACCACATTCTTGTGGCTAATTTTACTATGGATACGTACTTCTTCCATAAACACTTCTCTCAAATCTTCATTGATATATTTCTTCACTGCTACAGGCTCATTGTCATCGTCAAGGATTCCCATATAAACTTCTCCAAAGCCACCTTTTCCGATAAGAGTGCTAAAGTTTCTAGTAATTCTTTCAATCTCAACTTCTGTAAAAATCTTAATGTTGCCATTGATCTCAGCTTCATGCTTTATCTTATCATGGCACTGTGTGATATTTCCAGTCATAATCTTATTTACTGCAAGTTGTGGTGTATACCAAAGCACATTTGCCACAATGCTTAGCACCTGTGATGGACAAAAAATAAAAATAAAAATAAAAATATATAAATAAAAACCAGAATTATCAGTAACATTAGTAAGACTTTTATATGAAATATGTTGTTAGGCATGATAAAATTAATTTACTCAGATCTTCTGTATATAGCACATTTAATTTGTTGAACCGTTGATTTTGGCACTTTACTATCTCTATGGATAATCTTTTTTAACCATTCAACTGGTGAACAAGTCTAGCCTACTGACCTGATAATAGAATCGCAAGACTAAAGGAATTAGTCATCGGCTGTGGAATCAGTTGTTCTAAACTTATTTTTATAGAAAAAATAGCAAATCTCACAAAACCCCGGTAGAACAAATTTATAACACAAAGCCACATGTTTGTATTCTTCTGCATAAAAAATAAAACAAGGTCATGGGCATTTATAGTAACACAGAGCCACATATTGTATCACCCTCCATTTGAGCAAGCACACAAACTAGCATCGAGATGGCCGTGCAGAAGTTGAGGCGGAGGGGCCAATGGGTATGTGAGCTTTGGGAGCTCTAAATAGAGGTTGGCCGCCTCTGGCTCACTCTCTTGAATATTTTGATCATTGATACATCCTTGTGAGCTATGCCAAACACCTCCCACTCATCTCCTTCATTGATTCTTCATCCAAGTGAGATTGGGAGTGATCTTAGTGCATTTGCTTAGAGTTTTAGCATCTAGTGGCACTAGAGATCGTGTGAGCTATGGGATTGCTTGTTACTCTTGGTAGTTGTCGCCACCTAGAAGGCTTGGAGCAGCGGTGATCGTTGAGCAGAGGTTGGTGATTATCTCCGGCTCCGATCGGTGATATTGTGAGGGGTTCTTGGGCTTATTCCCCGGCGCAGCGCAAAAAGTCACTCTAGTGGAATGCTCGTGACTTGTGTATCCTCATCTTGTGTTGGTTCTTACGGCACCCTTGTGTAGGGTTTGGCTTGTGTATGCCAATTAGCGTTAACCACCAAGTGAGTGTGTGTCGCCACAATGAGGACGTAGCTTGCCGGCAAACAAGTGAACCTCGAGATAAATCTTTGGTATCAATTTGTATTCATTGCAATTGATTTATCTCTTCCTGGCTTGGTAAACTTCACCACTCCCCTTGTATTTACATTTATTGTTATAATTGTGTAGTGTAGTTCTCTTGTGTAGCCTAGAAGTAATTAGTTAGCTAGTTGATTAGTTAGTAGTAACTAGTTCTCGCTAGCTCACTAGTTTAGAAGCAGTGACATAGCCTTTAATTGAACTAGACATCATAGCTAATTAGTATTGTGGGTAGGTGGCTTGCATTTTAGTAGAGCTAGAGCAAAACACATTATCTCCATTTAGTTGACTAACAAGTTGCTCTAGTGCTTCGCGCAAAAAACTTAATTATGCTATCCAACCCCCCACTAGCCATTTAGGACCTTTTAGCGTAGCTGGATGAGTACTATCCTGATTCCTCAAGGGTCCAGATTATTTCATCCTCTCGTTCATCGGCCAGGTTTATCTGTACTGACTGTGATGCATTCCAAAGGCCAAAGTACACATGTAGTAGGTCATGGTTCATGTTGTAGGCGATGTCCCTGATCCATGCTTGTCCAGTGAGAGCTTTGCTTGACTATTCTGTTCTTTCTTTTATTGTGTTTGTGGAGGCTAGGGAATAGGCAAGCGGGGGCTGGCCATGTAGCCAATTGGAGGTCCAGAAGGATGCCTTGCAGCCATTATGAACCGTGACTCTTGTTGCTGCTATGAGAAGTGCAATGTCCCGCCGAGTCTGTTGGTAGCAGTGTGCCATTCCAAGGTCGTTCCGGTTTTCCATGCGAACCAAAGCCATATTATACGTAGACCTCTGCTGAACCAGTCGAGATCCAGTATGCCTAATCCGTCGAACTATACTGTCCTGGTGACAAGAGGCCATGCCACCTTGCACTAGCCACACGTGATTTCGACAAAACGCAATCAACTAGGATTCTCTAGCCTCTATTGGGCCACGTCATAACAAAATCCTGGCAGTTAGAGTCACGTATTTTGGTTAAATCAAACCATTCGTCTACAAGGGCTTCTAGGGTCTTCGCAAGAACGCTGCACTCATAGGACGGAAAGAGGTAGCATGCGCCGGCATTGTTAAATTGTGCCATCTCTTCCGGTCGCCTCGCGCCCTCCCAAGAGTTTACTCTCCATGACCGGATCCAGTGCTGCACCCGAGCAAACAATTGGCCTGTCTCTAAACACTTGGCTATCAACTTCAACCTCCATCGAAGTCAGCCCACGTTCTCTGCAGCGAGCGTTTGGCATCGTAGCGATATTTGGAGCTAACTTATTTTTTTATTCGATGTTATATGGTTATCCTATTGAAGGTGAATTGCAAAAGGTCTATTGACATTGTGAGGAGAGCAGATTATAGCATAGAGGCAAAGCAAACCTCTTTTAGGAAATGGAAAATATCTATCGTCATCTTTGAATCGTATTGACTAATCAGTAATATCACTATATCAGTTTCATCATTTTTCGGTTAGTTGTACGCTTTATAAAAATAAATTATCAATAGGTATACAAGATGTATCAGAAAGTACGTGAAGACGAAGAACCCAGGTTTCAAAACCATCTATGTTGAGCCTCCAGAAAACTCACAAGCAGACAACTGCAGCAAAAAAAGTAACCGGAACCGGGAACCAGAGAGGACTATTTCTCCTTTATCAATCTATTGCCAACATAACAATGCTACTTAACTACAATTAGGATCTAAATGAGACACTTTGAAAGTAGATTAACCCAGGTTTACAGTTCAGAAATTTACTTTTTTGTGCAATCTGCTAGTTCTAAGATACTTGGGTGTGATTGCACGTGTTTGGGTGGATTAAATTGCTCGATGATACAAAGCAGTGTAGTGAGACAACGTTGAACTGTTTACTTGCTGATCAGTTGTTTAATCCTGTGAGCATATATCCTGTGTAACATGTGATCTGACTGCTCTCTACTAAACTTCAGTAACTTTATTCTCCTGGTTATGTTGCTGGTTTTCTAGGCATTTAATTTTTGATCTAGAACCTGGATTTTGGTAAGTAGGGTTGTCACGTTAGTCTAGGATCAGTAATCACCAACCGGCGTTGGAAGGCTGCCTATTGCAGCAACCCGCTATTTTGAGAGCAATTATTTATAAAAAACATGTTTATATTGTTAAGCTGCCTTCTTCATCTGCTTGTCATGTTTAATGTTGATATGAGCCTGAGTAGTTCTTTGTTCATATTCTCTTGATGAACAATATTTAGGCAACACAAATTCCCGCTTGGAATGATCAGCAATCACTACATTGGCTTCTCAATGCTCATTTTGGTTGGAAAATTACATATTTTTTTCTCTGCATATGGTTCAAATGAAGCTCTATTCGTGCCACTCCACTTGCAGCCGTGCTCAAACATGTTTCACTTTCATTTGTCATAATGGATCATAAACGTATAAACTAAGTTGTCCTGGTATCTTAAAAGTTGAATCTTACTCTATTTTTTATAAGAAAAGAGGTTATGTTAATTTATCATTCACCTTATCAAAAGTTTAGCTTCTACAAAGGGTATTAGATCAAAATTATTTTCACATTTTTACCTCTACCCGTGAACCATATTGGCAAGCACTAATCTAAGTTCAAAATTCTTTGTTCATATTCTCTTGATGAACAGTATTTAGGCGACACAGATTCCTTTGGAATGATCAGCTATCACTACATTGGCTTCTCAATGCTCATTTTGGTTGGAAAACTACATATTTTTTCTCTGCATATGGTTCAGATGAAGCTCTATTCGTGCCACTCCACTTGCAGCCGTGCTCAAACATGTTTCACTTTCATTTTTCTTATTTAGACTGATGCTTCCTATTATCCTTAATTTCATGAATTAAATGTCCTGAATAGCATGGCATTCCACTATACCTTTTTCTAGTGTACACAGTACTATATGTGATAGAACCGCCCAATTTATAATAGATCAAGTACGGCTGTCCCTGTTTAACACGTTGACGCGCGCATACTTTCACTTATATAAACTCGGTAGTCCGCCGAGTGTCACGAAGGACCTCGGTAAATCAACATCATAACCAAGATCGCATGATTAAGCAAATACACATCACATACACAGAGTTGCAGCGGAAATAATATTACAAATGGGTTCACAAATAATAGTACAAGTTTGGATTTCAAAACCGGTTAAAGGAAAATAACATAGCTTTGAAATGATTACATTAATATAAGTTCCAAATACATTGCTAGCATAAGTGACCTCCTCTGATAAAAGCATATACATGAGAAATAGATATAGAGTTACCGAACCCCGGTGGTTAGCCACCATCTTCCTCAAAGCTAAGAATTTCACCGCAATATGGTGGGATAAACCCTGAGTACTCGAATGTACTCAGCTAGACTTACCTGTCATAAACAAGAAATAAAGTGACACCAAGGATCATGCAAGGCTTTATAAATGGAGCTAACTTGACAACATTTTACATAAAAAAGTCACTAATTCAGCTATACATTTTATAATTCGGTTATCAAGTTAATTATAACTATTCATCCCTAGATTAGCAACTAACATGTGTCAAACATGTGGTATATCATTTAGTAGCATAATAATAGTAACCATAGCCGGTATAATAATTCCATGTTCATCATAACCGTCATTCCATAATACAGTTACTACAATGTTGGAGCTAGCCCAGTTTCTCACTGTCTGAGAGAGACGGCGATTCAAATCGATTTCAACCAGCTGGGAATTTATTCCTAACACAAACACAGGCAGACTAGATCAACGGTCACCTTAGGTCACATTTGGTACAACTCAAGCCCACATTTCGTGAGTTCGTCCAGCGCCAGACGATCAGGTACAACCAGCTATCAGGACGTTCAGGCCCAGCCTACCCTTGGGCTCACATCAGGCTCCCCGCACATCCTTACTATCATCCAGCGTGTGCACTTTTACATAACGGGGCCTGGCCTGAGTTGAGCTACTCGGCTTCACGGTCAGAACGAGTTATCCAGCCAGCTAAGTGAGAGGCATGCGTTCAATCTCTCAACAGAAGTTCCAACAATGGTACGGTCCTTAATCGACATAGACGGAATCACATGATCCAACCTACGCATAGACTCTCATCAAACCTTGATTACATTACCCCGTGGTTCTTTTCTACGATAGCAAATATAGCCAACTATGCTCCGGTATCCACCTATATCTCGCAGGTGACAGAAAATCACCCGACTTCTACCGGTCTAAGCATGGCTAAGCATATATTCGATCCTGGACCTACACAGGGTTAAAGGTATATTTATCTGGACAAGGTAGTTCTATGCATCAAGTGTTTCCAATTCAACTCTTATAACCTAATGCATC